GCAAGGGGGCCGAATAATATTGCACGCCCCACTTTTCAGTTTTTTATTTGTTAAAAAAGTTTAAAATATCCAATAAATTTTGTTCCACTTCACGATTGTGTCCCTCTTGACATTTATTTTTATTTTTATATCTTTATGTTTGAAGCCTGAAATATGGTGAAATGTTGAAAGGTTCAAGGGGGCCGAATACTTTTGCAAGGCACTGTAACTACAATATGTGTTTATAATATTTCGGGTGTTCATTTTGACATGTTCAGATGAATTATGTTAAAAAAATGGCTTTGAAGTGGCACCTTTTCACTTCCGCATAGAAACGCTATGGGGAGCCAAAATGGCGGCAATGACATAGGAGAAGGACATCTCACAGCAGCGGACAGCAGTCTTAGCTGGAAACTGTAGGAGGTTTCACTGTCATCTGAACAAGGTATAAACATATTTTCATCCGTTTTGTACATAATAGAGTGCAACTCTTTTAACCTTTTAGCCTTCTTTGTGAGATTCAAGCTAACTAGTGTTGGGCAAGTTAGCTAACTCTACTTGATATCATAATACATGCTAACAAGGCTAATATTTGTTTTTACATCATGCCAGGCTCACTTTGGTTGCCTTAGATTTATTTACCGGGGCGACAGTAGCTCAGTTGGTAGAGCATTGGCCTTTGAGCCTGAAGGTCGTGGGTTCGAGCCCACCGTAAGACCTACTTCACGACTCCCACTGATGACTGCTGTCGTTGTGTCCTTGGGCAAGACACTTAACCCTACTTTGCCCAAAAGCCCCAACTGAAAGATCTCAGCTCCTGTGGACTCACCACCTACAGGAGGTTCAGTGAGGGGCTGGTGTACTGGGTGCAGCTCTGACTGCCACCCCCCCGACCCAGAAATGGATTAAGGGGAAGAAAATGGATGGATGGATGGATGGAGATTTATTTACCACAATGTACATTGTAATATCCATAAATGCTAATCAAAATAACTTGAATTAAATAAATATTTTACTTTTATGAACAAAAAGCTGCAGAAGTTGAAAACATAGACTACATGTGATGCAATCATTGATAAAAATGCTAATTATACTGTTAATAGGTGTTAGCATTTATGGATATTACAATGTACATTGTGGTAAATAAATCTAAGGCAACCAAAGTGAGACTGGCATAATCAGTCTCACTTCCTCCTCCGTCGAGCAAGGACGTGTCTTAGTCCGCTCCTGCTTCTGAGAGGCTTGCTATCTCCTGTTTTTGTCTTTTTTCCTGGAGTTTTGCCACAGACAACTTTAACAGAATGGAAATTATTAATTGGTCCCTCAACGCAATTGATTCTATCTTTTCAACACGTAAGCGTGGGTCTGGAGAGCCCGTGTGCCCGGACGGGACTTCACCTGCGGGGTATACGCTTGACAGCTGGAACAAGTTTCAGCCCCTCTGTCTGTCGACCCTGTCCATTGAAGATTCGGAAGACGTATATATCTTTGGCTTTTTGGTGGTGGGGATCCTCCTGTTTGGGTTTGGAGCGGTTCTCTTCTACCACAAATTCGGAGGCATGGCAGTTCGCAAGATTCACGACCTGCTGGCCGACAAAATTGATGGGATGTACAAGGAGCTAAGCCGCGTCGTGGTTGAGAGTGCCGTGTCTGGACAACGGAGAGTGGTGTTGGTGGAACAGTTGATCAAAGATCTCGCAGCTCGTTCACTCGATGGGCATAAAACTCTGGAGTTGAGATTGAATGACATTGTTTGTCAGGCTTGAACTCTCTGACCCGGCTTGGATTTGCCCCTGTGTACGGAGTCTGAGGGCGCCGTAATTCGGTTTAATTGGAATTAATAGCCTATTTTTGATGCTACATTGCATATTATATTGTTTTTTCTCCTGCTGTGTCTTCTCTCCACTCTTATCTCACATTCCTCGCCCAAGGCCATAAACAAGGTCCCACAATCTACAACAACTCACACTATTTCAGTCTCCAGCAAGGATCCCTCACCCCCGCCTCCCTCTACCTATCCATCTTGCTCCCTCCCTCCCCTCCATTCCTCATTGTTTTCCTACTCACCCCCTCCCTGATCCCGCCCCCCTCTGACAGCCACATTGGGCCGGCAGTCGGAGGTGCTCATCCCGAGAAAAAAATCCGTGGTTTATAAAAAGCACAATGTGTCTATCCAATTGTCTGTGAACTGTATGTTATTGCTCTCTGCTGTTTCTTGCTGCACACAGCGCCGCAAATGGCGAAGTGGCACGCTCTCTGCCAAGACAATTTCCAAGTGATAACTTTGTTACTCACGTGGCAATAAAAATGATTCTGATTCTGATAATGTAAAAACGAATATTAGCCTTGTTAGCATGTTTTATGATATCAAGTAGAGTTAGCTAACTTGCCCAACACTAGTTAGCTTGAATCTCACAAATAAGGCTAAAAGGTTAAAAGAGTTGCACACTATTATGTACAAAACTGATGAAAATATGTTTATACCTTGTTCAGATGACAGTGAAACCTCCTACAGATTCAGCCCAGACTCCTCCTTCTCCTACGTCATCGCCGCCATTTTGGTGCCCCCTATCGTTTCTATACCGAAGTTAAAAGGTGCTACTTCAAAGCAGTTTTTTAACATAATTCATCTGGACATGTCAAAATGAACACCCGAAATATTATAAACACATATTGTAGTTATATATTATGGATAGCAGCATATTAAATTCTAGTGCTACTTTAAAGGAATGGCATGTGTCAGGCTTGTGTGTGTGCATGTGCATGCTCACATGATACCGCCTCCTCTCCGAAAGAGTTTTTTCACCGTTTTCCAGCGAAAGGGAAAAGTAATGACACATAAGTTTCAACGGCGGAGATAGGCATCACTACGTCCGTTAATATTTACAGTCTATGGTACATACAGACACAGGTGAAAGACATCTGGCCAGGGTTGAAGGATTGAAAGTAAAACCAAAAACCCATAAGCGAGCCAATATAAAAAGTTCAAATCAGTTTGATTCAATTTATTTTTGTATAGCCCTAAATCACAACAGTAGTCATCTCGGAGGACTTTATACATTTGTTGATTTGGCAGCACAGATCAGAGAATCAAACAGTTCAAACACTGGAAATGCAATGATAAAAAACACGTAGAGCCATTTGTCCATGAGGGGCAGATGAGCAATGTCCATAAATGTTAACAGACGATCATAAATGTCCTGGATCATCACCGCTGTCCTTTGAAATCTCGAGGAACCTTGAGGGAGGAATCTGCTCCCACGGGCGGACGGGCAATAGATCCAGGTATGAGGGCCGAGGCCATGCGGTGCAGGACTGAGGCATAAGGCATGAGGAATAAATCAAATCAAAAAGTTCACACTATGACAGACACAGGCTCCTCATGTTTGCACAGCTTGTTATTTGGAGAAAGAAGGAACAGTCTGACATAGTTGGCCAATGACAAGAGACAGACATGACATGCAGGTTTGTTTTGTATTTAGGTAATGTATGAAACAATGAAACAATCATTTCTGGATATTTTCACACTCCAAACAGTAGCCCTTTAACACTGGGACTCGCAGAATTCTGAACTACTAGAACTCTCTGAGCAGTAATTTTGACAGTTCTCATTCAAATCAATGGAAAGCTGAAAAGATTTTATTTGCTGCGTTGCTATGGTAACTAGCACAGGCCCTGCTCTGGTAGAAAACCCGAAAGCTGAACCAGAAACAGTCAAGAGTTTTACACTCAAGTGAACTCCTTGCACTTCAAAAATAAAAGAGAATGTCTTGAAAGTAATGTCATAGAAATAAACTTCATATTGAAACATAAAAAGTCACGTAGCCAAATAAAAAGGTAGATGATCTGAGTAAATACACCTCCAAACCTACAACCCTCAAAAATGGACGGCTCTGGGAGTACTAGTGTTAAATAAATTAGCGACGCAGTCTTTTCATGAATCAGCCGTATTTTAATCCACTGAACGTCGGCTTGTCGAGAGTTGCTTGTTTTGATTTACGGCTCGAATTCATCACGGCACGACGAGGTATGTGTATGATTTATGAGATGGGAGCGCGGTCCAAATGAACACTGATATGAATCGGATGCACGAGAAATATGCTGCCGCGCGCAAATCTCCTCAGTCTGCAGCCATTCTACATGCATTTACATAAGACCAATGGAACAGGCGGAGAAGGGGCGACGGAATGAGAGAGATTTAAGGCGGCCGTGAGAAATTATGAGGTTTTTAACAGGACGGAATATGAGCCACTGAAATAAACAGAACTAAGAGAAGAGCCACTACTTTGCCTGATTAGACAAAAGCAGTCGATAAACGAGTTGTGTTGTCGAACGTGAGAACAACATGTAATTTCTTGCTGTTAAGGTAAGATAAGACAAGATAAACTTATACACAGATCTGCATGAATAAATAAAATACAAAATAAAAAAAGTGTTTTGTGACTCTGATCTGTGAAAGGCGCTATATGGATAAAGATTAATTACTCACTTAATTAGGAATCACAAAGAACATAGGCAACTGTAATGTCTCTTTTATTTTGTACTTTTATACACAAATTCACATAATTCTGGATGTCGTAATGTCTTCCAAGCCAAGACACACATTTTCGCTGTCATTTCTACATCTATGTTAGATTGTTTGACCCAGTGTAGTGACCCAGTGTAGTGACCCGGTGTAGTGACCCAGTGTAGTGACCCAGTGTAGTGACCCAGTGTAAGTAAGTAAGTAGTAAGTAAGTTTTTATTTATATACCGCCTTTTCACTGCAGATCTGAGTCTCAAAGCGGTTTACAATTGTTAATTTTGGGCATTTGTCTCTCACTCCACACAGAGATGAGAGCAGAGTCGCCAGTACAGGAGGCGCATGCTAGAACTATTGGACATATTTTTAGTGGTAGGGGAAACCAGAGTACCTGGAGGAAACCTACGCAGACACGGGGAGAACATGCAAACTCCACTCAGAAAGGCCCTGGTCCGACCGGGATTCGAACCCAGGACCTTCTTGCTGAGAGGCGAGAGTGCTATCCACTCAGCCACAGTGCCGTGTAGTGACCCAGTGTAGTGACCCAGTGTAGTGACCCGGTGTAGTGACCCGGTGTAGTGACCCGGTGTAGTGACCCAGTGTAGTGACTCGGTGTAGTGACCCAGTGTAGTGACCCGGTGTAGTGACCCAGTGTAGTAACCCGGTGTAGTGACCTGGTGTAGTGACCCAGTGTAGTGACCCGGTGTAGTGACCCGGTGTAGTGACCCAGTGTAGTGACCCGGTGTAGTGACCCAGTGTAGTGACCCGGTGTAGTGACCCGATGTAGTGACCTGGTGTAGTGACCCAGTGTAGTGACCCAGTGTAGTGACCCGGTGTAGTGACCCGGTGTAGTGACCTGGTGTAGTGACCCAGTGTAGTGACTCGGTGTAGTGACCCAGTGTAGTGACCCAGTGTAGTGACCCGGTGTAGTGACCCAGTGTAGTGACCCGGTGTAGTGACCCAGTGTAGTGACCCAGTGTAGTGACCCAGTGTAGTGACCCAGTGTAGTGACCCGGTGTAGTGACCCAGTGTAGTGACCCGGTGTAGTGACCCAGTGTAGTAACCCGGTGTAGTGACCCGGTGTAGTGACCCAGTGTAGTGACCCAGTGGGCAGCATTTAAAGTCTGTTTTGTAAATGGCAAGGCAAGGCAAGTTTATTTGTATAGCACAATTCATACACAAGGCAACTCAAAGTGCTGAACAAGAGAACATTAAAATCATAAATAATCACAGAACATTAAAAGGAAAGATAAAAACATAAAATCCCTCAGTTGTATGCACAGCTAAACAGCACCGTTTTTAACCTGGTTTTAAACATTGTCAGAGAGGAGGCCTGTCTCACATCTTCAGGAAGATTGTTCCAGATTTTAGCAGCATGAATCTGAAAAGCAGCCTCCCCATGTTTAGTTATGACTCTGGACACTAACAGGAGTCCAGTCCCTGTGCTCCTCAGAGTCCGGGCCAGTTCATATGGGACTAACATGTCACTAATATATTTTGGTGCGAGGCCATGGAGAGACTTGTACACATGCAAAGCTGTTTTAAAGTCTATTCTCTGAGCCACAGGAAGCCAATGCAGAGACCTGAGGACCGGACTAATATGGTCGTACTTCCTGGTTCTAGTCAGGACTCGAGCTGCTGCATTTTGAATGTACTGCAGCTGTTTTACAGCCTGTTTGGACAGACCTGTGAGCAGGCCATTGCAGTAGTCTAACCTACTGGAGACAAATGCATGGATAAGAATCTCCAAGTCTGCTTTAGACACTATGTTTTTGATCCTGGCAATGTTTTTTAGATGGTAAAAAGCTGCTGATGTTACTGATTTGATGTGGCTATTGAAATTTAAGTCTGAGTCCAGTATTACCCCTAGATTTCTGACCTTGTTTGAAGGTTTAAGGGACAGAGACTGTAGATGACAGATGACGCTCTCTCTTTGTTTCTGGGGACCAAAGACAATCATTTCAGTTTTGTCTGCGTTTAGCTGAAGGAAGTTGTTTTGCATCCACTCACTGATCTGTTGGATAGAGTGAAGGAGTGAGTCCACTGGTCCATGTTCTCCTGCAGTCAGTGAGACATAGATCTGAGTGTCGTCTGCATAGTTGTGATAGGACACTTTGTTTCTGCGTATTAACTGACCTAACGGCAGCATGTAGAGATTGAACAGAAGAGGTCCCAGGATCGACCCCTGTGGTACTCCATAGGTCAGGGCCATATGATCTGAGACACAGTTTCCAATCTCCACAAAGTACTTCCTGTCCTCAAGGTAAGACCTAAACCAACTTAGGGTGGTGCCAGCGACGCCAACCCAGTCCTCTAGTCTTTGTAAGAGGATCTCATGGTCGACAGTGTCAAAGGCAGCACTCAGATCTAACAGGATTAGGATTGAGACTTTGCCTGCGTCAGTGTTCAGCCGGATATCGTTTGTAACCTTGACGAGAGCAGTCTCAGTGCTGTGGTGGGGTCTAAAGCCGGACTGAAACATATCAAATGAGTTGTTGATTATAATAAATCTATTTAGCTGTTCGTAGACAACTTTTTCAAGGACTTTCCCCATAAATGGCAGATTTGAGATGGGACGATAGTTGTTAAGTACCGTAGCATCCAGACTGCTCTTTTTTAGCAGGGGCCTGATGACTGCCGTTTTCAGGGCCTTTGGGAATATTCCAGAATTAAGGGACATGTTTACTATCTGTGTGAGTGAAGGTAACAGACTGCTCAGAACAGACTTTAGAAATCTAGTGGGTAGTACATCCAGGCTGCATGTGGAGGAGCTCAAACTGGAGATTATCTCTTGGACAGTTTGATCATTTACAGTTGCAAAGTAAGTTAGCTCAAAGAGCCTTTCTGGCTGTTGGATGGTTATCTGTGGATTGGAGACAATGGCGTTTTTGATGCCTTGAACCTTGTCATTGAAAAAATGTGCAAACTCATTACATTTACGTTTGGAAGTTGGCTCTAATGGCATCTGAACAGGGGGTTTGTTAATCTATTAACTGTTGAAAACAGAACACGCAGATTGTTGCTGCAGCCTTCAATCATTTCAGAAAAATACCTTTCTCTCGTACTACGTAGCACCTGGTTAAACTCGCACAACTTATCTTTGAAGATCTCGTAATCAACCTGGAGGTTGGACTTGCGCCACTTCCGCTCGGCCCTCCGGCACTCTCTCTTTTGTGCCCTGACCGAGTCTGCTTTAGCCCACGGCGCCTTCTGCTTATTTTTCACTATTTTAACCTTCACAGGAGCGATGGTGTCCAGAACGTTCAAAACACTAGAGGTGACAGAGTTAAACAGTTCATCTACAGTAGAATACGATGCATTCTCAAAGTTTATCATTCCCATAAATAGTTCACCAGTATTTTCATTTATGTGTCTTCTTTGTACAGTTGCAGAGTCCACCGGTGGTTTGTTAGTGAAACACATGTCAAAAAATACACAAAAATGATCCGAAAGCGCAACATTGACCACGTTTACATTAGAAATGTTCACCCCCTTTGCAACTAACAGGTCTAGAGTGTGCCCTCTGCTGTGGGTGGGGCTACTCACATGCTGAGTGAGACCAAAAGATTCAAGAACAGAACTCAGCTCTTTTGCATTTCTGTCAATAACATTATCCACATGAATATTAAAATCCCCTGTAATAACTAAGCTATCAAAATCTGTGCATACAACTGAAAGCAACTCTGTAAAATTATCAATAAAACTGTGACATGACTGCGATGGCCTGTATACATAGTTCCCACATGACGTCACTACATACGGGGATTTGCCGACCCGGCGCCATTTGTGTTGGCATGCTGTGGGCAAAACAATAGAAAAAGAAGCTGAAACGTGTTAATGTCGTGATAAAGTTGAAAATGGTCATCTCCTGCTGGGTCAATGGATGTTCAAATCGTGCCGGAGGTTCCGTTAAACTTGGATTTTACAGTATACCCATCATTAGACTTCATGAATGTGAGAAGACTAAGCTTTTGTCAGAACAACCACGGAGGTTATGGCTTGCGAAGATAAACAGGCAAGAAACTCCCTCAAAACACGCAAGAATATGCTCGGAGCACTTTGTGTCAGGTGCGTATCGTATCTTATAATGTGTTGACAGACGTAATTTACTCAGTACTAACTTGTGTATGCTGATATCTGGTAACTTGAGAGTTTCATTATTTAGATTACTTTATTATGAGGAGGATCGGTGTCGCGTCCGAGGCTCTCGAGGGCAACGTAAATGTATTAAATAGATAATAATAGTTCTATGGTGGGCTAAAACAATGTTCACAACAGCATTGCTTCTGTAAAAAGATCTGTGTCATAAAATAAACTGCTCTTTACGCCTGGAAAAATCAGTTGCCCACCATTCACCAAAACATACGGTCAAAAACGCGGAAATAAACAATAACAGCAATCCAGAGTGTCCGTGTGGCATTAGCATTAATTAAATTAATTGTTAATATAATTAAAATAATTAAATGGAGCTCCAACTGGTATTAAATCTAAAGTTTTTGAGAAATGTTTGCATTGCTTGTTAATTTTTGCTGCATAATTTGATCAAATATGTAAAACATGTCCGTAGCACGTTAAACTGTGGTGCCATTGTATTAATATACAATTATTTGCTCAAAAGTTGCCCTTTTTTTCCAATTTGCGTTTGAATATCTACATTTATTCTCATTCTTCTGTTTAATGGAATGCACAAACACAGCAGCGTGCCATCAAAGATGGCGTCTCCGAGGAGGTCATGTGACATTCATTGGTCTGTGGGAACTATGTATAGGACAACGAAAAGTATCGGAGGAGATTGTTTTTGTTGTATTTTAAAAGACACATATTCAAAAGACGGAAACTTCCCAAGAGGTTTTCTATGGGAGACAAAGTGGTCTCTGAAAATGGCAGCTAAACCTCCTCCTTTTTTGTTTTCCCGAATTTCAGATTCAAATTTGAAATTTGGTGGTGATGCTTCTATTAGCATCACCACCAAATGTTCATCGTATGATTTGTCAATTCAAGGTTTTAAAGTCTTTTGTATCTGTTACCTTAGAACCTGCCTTGGGACTACCGCTGAAATGTAGCAGTTATGCTAATTTCGGCGCATTTACACTGACGCTGAAGGCATCGATGTTGATGAAGGTGCATTGTCCCAACTCAATATATGAATAAATGAAAATGTTTAATAAACGTAGAAGGGAAAGAAATAAAACAGTTTTCCCTTAATTTGAATGGGAGCTGTCAAAATGACTGCTCTGGGAATTGCAGTAGTCTCAGAATTCTGGGAGTCCTGTAGTGTTATAACTATCCTGCCCACTCGTCAGACTGGACATGTTATTGCTTTGTTTAGAATGTTCCGGAACGCTCTTAAACCTCCACGTCCCCACGGACACAATAAAGAAGAATGTGATTAGCCGCGCTGCGTAGCTAGCGCTGTCTTCGTATTGGACACATAGCTACAGGCGCTAGGGCTGTTCCCACTATAATAATAATCATCATTTCAATCCCTGCAGGAACAGATTTACGACAGAGACAGTCCTGGCAGCTGATTGGTGCTGTTACCGCCATTCAACGGTAATTACCAACAGTGTTTTAAATTAATATTTGGTCATTATCTTTACTTGTCTATGGGTGAAGTGTGGGGGAGGTTGGAAAAAAGCTTTGTTGGCAAAAAGGCGTTTTTTTTTTCTGAGTCCGGTAATGAGCGTAGAGGAGAGCGGGGAGATAAGCAGGATGAATCTTTAAAATGAGCAATAGTCAAGGCATTATCAGCAAAGGAAGACGCTTTGAAGGACAAGCGACAATGCTATCGCGCCGCAATAACGGATCCGTGTGATGTGTCTGGAAATGAGGATAAACACAGATAATGTTTTAGACGCAAAAATATGTTTCTTGTATTATTACAGTTGTGCCGCTTTTCAAAGACTGGTTATAAAATGTATTTCAATAAAGAGCTAATAATCTGCTTTTGTGTGTGTGTGTGCGAATTCGACTGATTAATTTAACTATGATTTCTGAAAAGTACAAAACTCCGCAAATAGTTCCGGCCACTCCGAAGCTAGCCACGCTCAATCAACACACTTAAATGTTAATTGGAGAATACTTATACATATACATTCTTCACACACGTGCACGGAA